CAACTTTTAATGGTCTTAAATTAGATTCATAAGCTCCACCCCATATTATAAGGCCATATCAAAGCAATGATTCTACTAACGATTTGTATACTTGTATGAGTAGTTTTCTGTCTCGAAAATCTCGAAAAACATAGAACTTATGAATGAGTCCTCGAACTTTGCCTGTCAAATAGTGTACATGTTCTTGAGAAAAATTTTTGAGGCAAAATACCCAAAAAGAAGTTTGTAAAAAATGAATCCGCCTCAACAATATAGAACTTATCAAGAAACTTTTAGATGTGCTTAATTTTTTAAAATTGATGGAAAGTGTGCTAATTTTATGGGAGCTTTTTCAATCAACCAACTGAGCATATTTTGGGCAACGCATCTACAGTGGGTGTTTAGGAAATTAAAGCGGCAGTAGAAACAAGATCAAACATCAATGAAGCACAATCACCGTGTTTGTTTTATTAATTCCGCATGCCACCTTAAAGGGAATAGGTGGCTTGAAAACTGGGCAAAACCACCCCCAAAAATCTCTTCAGCAAACTGATAATAAGTGCGGCCCCTTTCGCCCCCCGCATCAGCCCCCACCCCCGGCCGCCGCTTACCAACCCCCTAATCCAGGCTAGTGTAAGCATCATAATCCGGCGAATTGTCTATGTTGAAAAATGCAGCATCTTAAAGCCCCCCCACCACTGTCCTGGACATTAATTCGGACAACCCCATTGGCCATGTGCCGCCTATGCCAACTTGCGAAACTATACACGCACGTTGTGTTCGAAATTTCGTAAGAGGAGGAAGACGGCCAGCCTTCGCTCCGCATCAGTTTTCTGTTGACCATTACGCGAAGAAGAACGAGCATCGTCGCCTGAGTCTCACTGATCGCGCGTACTTCCGAGTTTTCGTGTCTTTGCGTTAAAATCTTCAAGTTTGTTATGGGATAACCTGAAGTCGGTAGGCAATGTGAGTGTCGTTGAGAATATGTGCCGTGTCCGCAACGTTATTTTGAACAGTTTTTCGAATCAACCCCCGGACCTGAGAAGGCCGATCATGTTATGATTTAACAGACAAACAGTTGTTTATTTATTTTTGGTGCTTTTTTTTCGTTTTAAACGACTTTGAACACACTGTGCGATAGAGAGTGATTAAATGGCAAGTAACAACGGCGACATTCAACCGCAGGTTTACCAGCAACAGTTTAAATGCGACGAATGTTCCTTAACGTTGAATTCGGCTGAATCATTGAATGTTCATTGCAAATACCAGCATCAAGGGAACTCGGGACAGCAGTGGACTGGAGAGAACAAGGACGGCGCAGTCAACCAGCAACGAGGCCCAGTAAAACGTGAGTTTCCTTCCAATATGCAACAGCAGGCCGACAGTTTAGACTTGCCAAAGTCCAGTCCGAATTATCAGCGGACGACTCCCGATGCCGGTTATGCCCAGCCGCCAACACCCCAAAGCTACCAAAGCTCCAATTCTCCCTTTCAAAACGCTGAAGCCACCCCGGTGTTTTCGATTTTCCCGAATTACCCATACTTCAAACGGGAAAATATATCGCCTTCGCACCAGCAAAACCAAATGTATCAACATTTCTCCAACTTTCCTGAACACCACTTTGATGCTGGCGCTGTGGAGCCCAGCGTCTACCCAGAAGACCCGATGATGCGGACATTTTCCAATGAACCATTGCCGGAAATGTGCAGAGAGCTCATGAGGGGGAAGGAACAGTACTCTGAACCCCCCAAGCAGGCTGGCGGAGCTCTAGCTGAGAACGTGTCATTTTCAACTCAGCCCACGCCATCCCCCAGTCCGAAGCAATGCGAAAAATGCAGATTTGTTTGCCCCAACACATCAGTCCTGATGGAACATATGTCTTCAGTGCACCAAGTGCCACTGGGCCATTTCGCCTCGGGCAGTCAACTGATGTTCGAACAACAGGCCATGGTGAAGGAAGACGAGTCCGCTTCAAGCGCTATCCTCGATTTGGATTCGCAGAAAGTCGTCCATCCGGGTTGGAGCAGTGGGCGAAAGCGCACGTTCGAAGATAGCAACATCACCCATGCAAATAACACCATGCTTTGGCCCGCAATGCAGCCCAACAATGTGTTTAATGGCGAACGCATGTTTGTGCCCACATCCGCTCCCACCGCGAGCAACAACAACGAGAAGCTCTACACCACCCTGACTAAGTTCTCCCCCAATCAAATGGATGGCTCCTATTTGAACAATGGGGTCTCCTCCTCCAATCCGGACGTGGGAAGTTTGAATCAACAGCAGCAGCAGCACATGATGAGCAACAGGTCCTTTGAGCAGCAGGCGCCAGTTAACCTCCCTGTGATCACCACCAGCCAGATTCTGAGCGCGGCTTCCACAGCGGCGCCGCCCAGCACCAAAAGTTCCAATTGGAAATCCAACGAAGCGCGCAGACCAAAGACGTACAACTGCACTGCTTGCAATAAGTGGTTCACCAGCTCCGGGCATTTAAAGCGCCATTACAACACGACGTTGCACAAAAACGCAGTCAAGTCCAGCGGACATCCAGATCCAGCCACCATGCCCATAAGCGCCCACCATCATCCGGCCAGAGAGGCCACATCCAGCAAAGACGGAAGACAATCAAACAGCCCCCGCGACGATGAGTCCAATAGCAGCCAATATGGAGGGCGGACAAACAACATGCCTGCCTTGCTGCAGCACACGACAAATGATCTGTACGAGAGGCCGGGGCTGAACCAGCATCATTTGGGAAATGGGAATGGCGCAGTCGGAGGGCAAATGGCCCCTAACTTCAGCACCAATCTACCAAACGGCAGTCCCCCAAACGGGACGGCAGGCCTCTCGATGCCAGAGACGAGAGGCCTGATGCCGATGGCGCCAGCCCAAGGGTTTTCCATGATCTCGCAGCCCCACATGATACCAATGGATGGACCTCAATATCAGCTCTACCCAAACGAGTTTGCCCCCCACGTTACGCAGGCTATGGATACTACCACCCTCAACAACCTCAATACCAATGGTGAGCAAGTGCAGTATCTAGTGAATGTGGAGAACAATCAGCCTCTGCCCAGCTTTGCTCAGATTCAAGCGCACATCGGCGGAGGCTACGCGAACGTGGGGGGTTTGGGGTCAGTGATGACTTCAATTTCATATTTGCCAAATCAGAACGAAGGGCAATTCGGCACCACACTGTACGATCTGAATAGATTGGTCATTACAGAGCAGCCGCAGCCGCAGCTGGCAATGGAGGCAATGCAATTTTCCGCGATTCCGAACAACAACAATGACACATCATTTGCCGACATGTCCGCAGGTGCGATTGACGCCAACATGACCGCTGTGGCTCCAGATGCAGCGGGCGGCGCAGCATCGTTACAAGAACCCCAAATTATGGCCGCCGCAGACGAAAGCAAGGAAAACGAGTCGGAAAATGCGGCTGCTGAAACAGGAAACTCGAACGTTTCCTCATCGACCACTGAGAACCAGGAGGACTTGAGCAAAACGAAATGCTTCGATTGTGATAAAGTTTTCAATCGGCCTTGCTACCTCACTCAGCACAACAAAACCTGCCACAACGGCGACAAGCCATTCAAGTGCTCCAGATGTGGCAAACGGTATGCTACCGAAGATGTTTTCCTGCGACACGAGGGCAAACATGCCGGCAACAAGCCGCACAAATGCTTGATGTGCCCGAAAATGTTTAACCATAAGACTGACCTGAGACGGCACATTTGCTGCCACACGGGGAAAAAGCCGTACGCCTGCACCATTTGTGATAAAGGATTCATCCGCAAGGATCACATGGTGAAGCACGTGGACACACACTTGAAGAAGCGGGAGAAACAAAGTGCAATGCGTAGCTGAAAAGCTGTTAACGAATTCCGAAACCTTTTTCATTCGCTCCTATTGTTCATAATTTTGTTGTCTTCTTGTACATACCTGGACTAACAAGTAAGTAACTCAGATTTGAAATGTTTTGTGGATATATTTTATTAACGTTGTATCGATGTGTTAAATGTCACTTGAATCATACACGGACTGGGTGTCGCGGTAGACACCTCAGAGCAGCATTTGGTGCTTCTTTCCTGAATCCAAACGTTTGTATATAGGAGCCTTTAGAGCTCAATTGACGGACTGGAATTTAGAGCACCTGCTCGAGTGTGGCCACCGCAGAAGTTTCCATTTTGTTTTTCCTCAAGAAATCGCATCGGCATCGGTCCCCCAAACTATTTCTGTCACATATTAATCAAAATTCTGCAGCCCAACTGACTAACCAATCCTATGTTGTCATTTTACATGTTCAATGCTCAAAATTGACAAAACAATTTGTATGTCAACAATACTATTAACAAACAGCAATACCTCAGATTCTCAGAAATAGATTATAAATATTATATATACATATATATATATATATATATTACGATGTCAAGAGGACCTAACTTGGAGGAGGTTATTATTAATGTGAATGTACAAAATAAAAATTTAGAACTTTATTAAGCCAGATGAAGATGTTCAAAGTTTTTCACTAGACAGTGTCGTTTTTTATCATGAATCAAATTAGTTATTATTTTCCTTGGTATATTAAGTATGAGAGTCTAAGATGATCTCTGTGAAGTAATAAAGTATATTGCAATAATTATCAGTGAAAATCTACTAATTGCGCCTGTACATAGGAAATTTTGTTAAGAATAGGTAGATAATTTATAATATCTTTTACAGATAACATAACTACCTCAGTTGTATTGTGCCAATCGGTTATTTCGTTTTTAATTAAGTAGGAAATTTAGATACCAGATTGTTACGAATTATCGTTCGCTGAGATTAGATTTCCTATGTGCCAAAATCAGTTGCCACAATTCGCAATTCGAATAATGCGAAATTGAACCCTTTCAGATCAGAAAGTGTACATCTCATAATTAAATGACAACAATATTTGCCAAATTTGTACTAATCTCGCAGCGATTTTTCAGTGCACTTTTGTCCAGATAGGTGGCCAATCACCGATTAATCTAAATATCGATAAATAGTCGAGGCTGGAGAATTTTACGCAAATCACAAAATTTATATAAATTGTATTTCAGAAGTTATCCTGCCTTTAACGATTTATCGATGCCAGAATGAGTGTATGTACATCGAATTTCTTCAAACTAAAACAAATCTATCTGGACATATCGTTATATGTAAATTTTAGTGCAATTTATTACAAAAGAGATTCGCTTTCAGGACCAGCATGTTTTCCTTGAAATACCACAATGGGAAAATGTTCTGATAACAGTTACCAAACGATTGTTCTGTTGAAACTAAAATGTTGTTTTGCTTTTCATAAGTTTATGTTATGTACACTAACTAATTTGTTGTATATTGTTTCTTGCATTAAGACTGATTGCAACGTTCTCACTCAATGATTGCGAGTGCTATGATTGCTCTCGTCCTATGTCTACGTTTAAGTTAAGTTTAAGGTATACTTTGTTTACATCTTATTCCTATCCTTATATGTTTATGTTAATATGAACTAGCAGTAAATAATATTTCATTAAAGTTGCTGCATTTAATTTCTTATTTCTTCCTCCCATTGTTTTAAGAATCTCCCAAATTGTTCACAATTTTGAACTTTGAAATTAATCAGTTCAAGGTAAGTATTATACGTGAATTCTTCAGCTATTTGAGTTGCAACGAGGCTTCAATAAGGTACGTATATTCCCACATAAAAAAATCTACGAGTTGAGGTCTGGAGAGCGTGGAACGTGATGGTCCGACAGTTTTTATTGAGAAAATCAGGGGCAACTGTTCCAAAATGGTAATAAAAACTCTTGATTTCTGGTTGAAAAATTAGTTCTTTGGCTCCATAATTCATTAAAAGTGCTCATTTGGATTCAAATTACTCATATAATTCATATATGAAGTATTTCCAATACTCCGGCGAGTATACAAAGTATAAAATTAAAAGCAAATTTATGCGATGTAATGATATTTCCAGTTATTTAATTGCAGATGTTGCTATTATTCAAGCTAATTTTTAAGTGAAGGGGAAATTTCAATTTTTTTAACTCAGTCTTTAAAATCATTCAAAAATTATCCATGAAACGTGCGTTGAATGCAGTGGGATTTTCATTGAAATCTCGAAGAATTAAACGGCGTTCAGAAATTCACGTTTCCTTTTTAAATTGCAAATATCTGCATGCCGTTCATACCAGATCAGTTAAAAAAATTTTCATATACACAAGTGTCCGATATTTCACAGCCCAATTCTTCAAGTATTTTTAAGATATAAAGCCCAATTAGGCTTTATATCTCAGGCTATATTTATATCTCCATCTCTAATTAGGCTCTGCACATTTTTATTTATGGTTTTTGACTTTTCGTACATACGTGTATAACATTGTTTAGCAGGACAATCAGTTTCTCCATACTTTTTACTTAAATAATGTATTTTTATAAAAAGTGTCTACAAACAACCGTTTTCGACATATTTTAATTCAAAGTAAAACTATTTCGTAGTATTTTCGTTTGCCATTTTTTAAATGTTTATATTAATAATGAATTCTGCTTAACTCTACTCAAGATAATTAAATTTAAACTGAAATAATTTAGAAAATGTAAATTTTAGAAATTTTCAAAAATGAGATTTTTCACCATCTTTGGTGTTTTTGAGATTTTCTTTTTGAAAAGTACATGCGCCCATTACTTTCAATCAAAATATTTCGAAAATGGTTCTTCGTAGCGACTTTTAATAAGAAAACATTATTTATGAGAATATGGTGTAGAAATAGATTGTCTTGCTAAATATGTGATACAGGAGTGTACCAAAAAGTTATGACTATTTTAAGGAAAAAAAGACATGTAGGAGGAAAACCAAGATTTTATTATTATCTAAAAGTATTTTTTAGCACTCTGTAGGCAATCGCCCTGCAAAATATTGGACACCCGCCATACAAAAAAATATTTGAATTAAACAGTCTTTTTGCACCGTTCTTAACGGGGAAGATTCCTATAGTTAGGAACTATTTTTAATGCAAACAATGGTCTTTTTCAAGTAAGTCTATGAAGTCACTTAATGACCACCTTAAAGTTTCAAAAAATATGTCAAAATTGAGTTATTTGTTCATTTCTAAGCGCATTAAACCGTCGGTTGAAGTGCACAATTTTCCTGACTGCAAGCTTAAATAGAAAATCAGCTACAAGTCAACCGAACTTAAAAATTTGTATTGATTTAGCTCAACAAATGTCTGCCAAAAAAAATAACTAAAGTGCCATGAAAATGTTGCATTTATAGACCCACTTTACGGCCTGAACCATCAGTCCTTATCAAGAATTATTGAAGCGACCTCATCGGTGTCTTTTACCTGCCTACATAAACAGTTGGAGAATTTTCTTTCCGATTGAAATGGAAAGTAGATGAACAATGCAGATGCGAAAGGGCAAGTGAATTGCTTTGGCAGTTCGGTCGATGAACTTGAATAATTATCAATTTTCCCAGCTAAGTTATCACAAACCACGTATTTTTTGGTACTTTTGGCTCCGGTATCCGGACTTATACATTTAAGAATTAATTCAGACCTCATTTTTGTAGAAAATTAAAAAAAACCGGTATCTATTAAACAAAATTTCTTCTTTTAATCTTCCATTTGCTTTCGTTGCTTAATCTGGCTGCCCTCTCCCCGGACAACGTTTCCCCGCCTTCTCCCTTATGTAAACTCGGATTTCCTTGGATAATTGCCCGGCATTCGACTGTGTCATTTTTATTATAAATAAATATTTCAGCTCTGCCGGAGAGAAAATTCGAGGGCGGAATAATAAATAATTAAAAAATTCGAGCAAGTAGAGCGGAGGGCGGTTTAAAAAGGGACCGGCTCTAATTTTCAGTTGATTGTTTAGTTGGCTGGGGCGCAATTTCAAGGAAAGTATCAGAAAATCCTGTATAAAGATTTCATGTGTTTTCACAATTTTGAAATTTTGAGGTTTAATATGTGAAGTCACCAAGCGAGTTACAGCTGAAAAGTGCACTCACTACACACAATAATAATATATATGTTGTTTCCTCCCCAAGAATAAAAATTAACATCTTCGTAAAACTGCGAATCATTCTTCCTGTGTGGCAGATTCTGACACATAGGCTTGAGATCTAACAAGTCACGTTTGGGGCAGATGTTGATGGCCCTGTTGTTTGCCAAAGCACCAACAAATGCATCCCTTTCCATCGCCTCAGCCCTTTTTCTTATTACCCGAACAGATCCACGACGAATTGTTTTACGTTTTTTTCCTGCCCCGAACATATTGTCCGAATTAATGGCTTATATTGAGGAAGTCGCTTTTATTGTTTCACCACGTTGCTGTCGTTTTTGTAGGCAACGAGTGTTTCCTGCAAATTCTTCCCGGATTCATTGGGGGGTTTCTACGAATGATTTTAAAGCAGATTTCCATCGAATATCATCAACCAGACCGCGACGTCTGACCAGAATCTGCACAAAAGACTCTTCAATGTTGAATCTCATAGAGATGCAACGAAGAGTGAAGGACTCGATGTGAGCCACCTGGAGCCACATTGTTTCTTCTAACAATAGATCAGTAATTCCATATAGGAGGCATAAAGAAAATAAGGTGTTCTGTTTGGTGATTTTGACTAAGTCATTTTTAAGATGAGAATTACTATCTTTGTTCACTCCGGAATTTTCTTTTTGGAAAATTAAGTAGATTTTTCTTTGAGTGAATTAATTTTTAGAGACTAAAAAATATTTAGTTTTACAACCAAAAAATTCATTTAAGGGGAGTCTCGAAGAAAATTGGTTTTTTACAAGTGAAATGCAAGCCAGTTTTTTAAAACATTAATTTGTAGATCAACAACTCAAGAACTTTGAATTGCGGAAATTAATCAAAAAATGGGCTTCCGCGTATTTCGAGCATTTGAATCCTGGCATTATTGATGATTGAATCTATAAATTGAACCGGGCGCCAATTAGCGTCGATTAAATTTTAATTAGGCTTGATAATTACATATTTTGGTTGTCCAGAACAATCAAGGAAGCCCAAACTGTAATTTCCCCATTCTAATATTCCGCCTAAATACTGATTGGTTGGCTCATTACCAATAAATGAGCGGTTTTTATGGATTGAAAGTGGTGCGATCAGTTTCATGTAATGGCCGGGGAAGTCATAAAATAAAATCTGAAATTGGTGGAGATTTTTTGATTTTTAGACCGTCATAGAAAAAAATTGTTCCTTTGAAGAATGAGGAATTTTCTCGAAAGACGAACTTTTCAAAGCAGACCCTATTGGAAATTGGTGAGTTTTTTGAAATCTCAAGGTTTTACTTATCTTCAAAGGGTGTTAAACTTTTTTAACCACACAGGGTTTGAAACTGGCGAGTTTCGGGGATTTTAGGGTGACACGGAAAATAATCTCTTCCTGACTTAAAAGCTCAAAATACTCTTCGGGTTCTGCTTTAATTTGAAGGATGTAAAATTTTTGTAAAGATGAAGTTTTCAAACCACACGCTGTTTGAAATTGGTGAGATTTTCGCATTTTTCCTGACTTAAGAGAGTAAAAAACTCTTCTTTCGCAATTCTCATTGCCTTTGAAGAATGTTAAATTGTCCGTAAACGTAAACATAATAAACCACACACTGTTCAAAACTGGTGAGTTTTTTGGGCTTTTAGGCCGACAGGAAAAAGAATCTCTTGCTGACTCAAAAGCTCAAAAAACTCTTCATGTTCTCCATGCGTCTGAAGGATGCGAACGATGAACTCTTCCAAACACACAGTTTGAAACTGGCGAACTTTTTGGGATTTTAGACTGTTATGGATCCTGTGGGTGTCTGTGATTTGGACACCCCAAAAAACTATAAAAAGACTAAAACCTAGAAAACTTCACACAACGTTCCTAGTGACAATGTCGATGAAAATCTGTTTGGATCAAATGAGCGACTATCAGCAAAAAAAATGGAAAACCCTGCAAATGCATTAAAGCAAAACCTCTTAACCCCATTGGCTTGAAAATCACTCGCAAACCATTCAACAGAATAATGAACATTTCCCATAAACAGTCCATACAAACGTTACCAAATCAAATAATAGCAATCCGACTTCTAACCAAATAATAATGGATTTGACTATAATTGAATCACGCAAAGTTACGCCCAACATCTGGTGCAGATTTTTTTATTGTTGAGAGCATGGGTGGTGTCTAAAGCATTTTTTCCCCGTGAAAAGATTGACACATGTTGCTTGCTGGCAAAAGGGTTGAAAGCATTTCGAGCCGTTTGAAACTCGACCGTTGCTAATCTGACTTCCGTGCCCGGACAATGCAACTTGGGATTTATTTCGACGATTATTTATCTCTTCCAAGCTGTAGGAAGTGTCTTCTCAAACGCAAATCGATGTTGCGGTTTTTGTTTATTCATTATACGTGAGGTTTTAACATCAATTTCTGCTTGTTATTGTGAAAAAATCGACAATTTCAGGCATTCTTTACCAGCTTATATTTACTTGTGTCCTAGGGGGTTCTTCTACCTGGGTTTGGTCAAGTGCTAAGTTCATCTAAAA